TGTTGATTTATTTTGAAAATCTTTCACCGTCTGTTTCTCCACTTTTTTGCCTCTCTGGTCTTTCTTTTTGGACTGACCTGCTATATAAATACTAGCTCCTATCTTTATTATTATTCAACCAAAATGACATTTAAAATGAGCTTCCTCTTGTTTAATTGAAAGACGACGTCGTGGAACATAAAATAAAACAGAGAAGAAGAAAAGCTAAAGAAAAAATGGAGGCAAGTGAATTCTCCTCATTGATTTTTCTTCCAATATTTGCTTTTGGCTCTTTTGTGTCTTTGTCGGAAACGATGGAGAAAGACAGTAGCTATGGTTGGAAAAAGGCGGGAAACAAATGGGACTGTTGGTTGGGACTGAAACCTGCCCATGTGGTACACAACCCGACAACGTGGCCACTGGTTTGCCCCAGTGTGCTCTGTTTTGGGATAAGTTCAGATTTCTGTCATGTTATGTAAAGATTCTGTCGATTTGTTGGTCGATATGCTACCAAACTGTCATTGGTTGGACAGTCGCTGGTGCTGCTTTCATAAGAAGAAAAGCTCCAAATCGACAGCTTTCCAGGACCGATCCGTCCCGTTTGGCGGCCGACTGCCTGTGAAACACTCCCACGTTTTCACAGCTAGCCCGACCCGATGGGGACCGCTGCTACACATCGCCAATTTCAGATCCCATAGTCACATTTTTTTCCTTCAAATGTTGGTTATCTTTTGGACCGTTTTCGAACAAAATGAATTATTTTAAAAACGTGTTACTGTAGCTGCGATGGAGCCGCCTTTCTTTATCTGTAGTTGTAATTCTGATAGATGTCAAGTACTGAGGTGCTTTCAACACTGACCAATAAATGGGGAACTTTAATTAAATAAACGACGGCATTTTAGTGAAGTTTCATGTGAACTCTGACACCATTTGCTGCACATGTGGCAGTTTCCTGTCAACTATTTGCCTGCTTAAATGAACAACAGAGAACATCTGTAACTGCACAAGGCATCAAAGTACGCATAATAAATCAGCTTAAATGTATAAAACAACAGGTCTAAATAATAATTATATGAAGGAAACTGTCTGGATACACGTTCAAAATCAGATAAAAAAGCATTAACTGATCAAAAACATCACAAAAGTTGGATAACAGACCCAGAAATATCGATTTAAAACACCAGGACCAACATAACTAGCAACTAATACACTAAAACAGGGTTAACTAAAGAATAGAAGTGAAGAATTACTGCTGGTAATTAAAAAACTACTTTAAAAAAAAAGAAAAAAGAAAAAAAAAACCTTCATTCAACCTTCCATTGGTTTTCATTTTGGTAAATACACCAGATTTACTTTGCATTTTACGTCTTACAACACTTTTTCCAACATTTTTCGTGGTCCAGTGAGTCAGTTTATGACAAACATCCATCTTTTTAATTACAAATAATTGGCATTAACCATAAAAATCCATTAAAAAACCATATTGGTGGATCCATAACTGGTGGACGGAACTGATTTAAATGTTTCACAGCTCGACATGTAAAAACATTAAAACCATGATGCTCCTCAATGGATTTAGTTTTATTTATGAATATGTGCAGCTGGTTTGTAGAAGTGAATCAGGTTTAAATGATATAAAACGCTGCAAATATGAGCTTTTAATGTTGATTTAGAAGGAATTCGGGCTAATAAAAGTAGCAGGTGAAGTTTTAATTGGTTGAAAAGTGTGATTTCAATCAGGAGTCCGACTAACTTTGGAAAATTTGGGGACTAATCAGCAAGAAATGAAGCAGAAGGCAAACTGTGGCCGCCTCGCAAAGTCATTTGTGAACATAATGAGGTACGTTTTGATTCTCTGCGCGTTACATTTGCATTTTTTCATTTATCTCGCTTTTTACAAGACGAATGTTTCCGTGTCAGATTGCTTATTTCACTCCTACGAGTTTTCAGAGAAGAGTTCCTGCACTCGGCCTTATCGGATTTGGACGTTGCCTCATTCCCACGTCTCGCCCGTCTTACCCGGCGCTCGGGCTGCAATAAACCAGATTCATCCTTTAAAAAGGGATCCAGTAAAACAAATACAGCAGACGAGAGGAATAACACGAGACAGAGCGAGGGAGGCAGGGATGGGAGGACGGCGGGCTGGAAGGAGGCGGACATTTTTTGCCGCTGATGAACACAGATTATGACTAATACAGCCGATTTACACGCGTATCAGACTTGGTGGGTTAAAACCCTGTTTGATTAAATCTGCAGACTCCAAATTAATCTCACCTTGATGGAAGCCTGTTTCCTTCTTCATCGCTTGTGACTGCCGTGCAAATTAATCGGCATTCATTGGCTTGATTCGTCTTGTAGACGTCTGACTGGGGCGTTAAAGTAAAAGCTCGTAACGCATTTGCTGCTGCATCAGTTTGCAGAGAAAGATTAATTTTTAGTGGTTAAACGAGCGCCGGCTTTGTTTCTGTGCGTTTTTATCGG